TCCAAATCAAAATTCAAACCATCTAATATCATAAAAGTACGAAGAAAATGGAAAACAAGAAAGGGTGGGAGGGTTTTAACTAGACTTTACTTAGACCAAGCAAGGGAGAGACAAAAGGTAAAACAAACTTCTTTTGTTGTATGCAAAGACACTAGGATTGTTCTGTCGAACTAATTCCCATGACTTCGGGGCCAAATGTTTGACAGGCGGGTTCGAATTCCGTTAGAAAGGCTCGATGGAATGCGATAGATAACTTTAAAGGCACTACTTCTGTCCACTTGGTGAGCGTGATCATCAATCATTTGTGAGCCCAAAGTACGTAAACTTGAACTTCCTCTTCACCCAGTCCTAGACATGTCTAATTCCACCTACCATGGAGTGGGAAAGTGGTTAGGTGAACTCCTCCAACCGTTACACAAGAAGGATAATAACAGAAAAGCTTGATGGTATAAGGATGGAGAAAATTGTTTATTTACTAGTGGAAAGAAGGTGAATTAGTTCGTGATTGACACTATTTCCATCACATAAAGTACATGCCAAATATGGTATTGTGGAATTTTTATACTTATACTTGCGTGGGCATGAAGTCCTTTGAAATAACTTCTTGTTTTCCCTCAGGAGACACTAGGTCAAAACTGCGGATAAAGTGGATGCTGACATTCTGACAAAATCCCTTTAGCAAATTTGTTGTCGAGTGACTTATAATATCATGGATTATTGATAACAGTCCAAGTGATAACGGAAATTTCTGATTTTACGCATTAAATCATTCGTCCTCAGTGCCTCTGACTCAGTAACTCCCATGTAATTCATACTCTCTCTCTTTCTCTCCCTATTCTTATTCGTATTATCATCCCTCACTCACTTGCCTTTTCTTTCATTTTAATGTCTTTGGCTATTCCACAACACAATGTGAAAATGTCATTCACTAGCTTAATCACATTGTCTCCACGGGTTCGAGTCCCTAGTCCACTTAATCCATTCAGCTTGAGCAATTAATTGGGTAGTCTTACTAGATCTCAAACAAGGAGTATGATGCTTAGCCATGATACATAAAGGATCTGCTCTGGGTCACTGAGGTCAGAAATACGATATTAAGATGTGAAATGTGGCAACTTAAACCATTACAAACATGCGGTGGTTGAACAAGACCGTCTAGTGCTTACAACCGGAGTGATTGGCTGACATAGATTTCTACTTAAGGGAGCTAGAAAACTCTGATTCCACACCAATACTGTGTACATGGATTCCAGACTCCAAAAGGATTAAATACCGTGTGAATCTGTTTTGGTCACCATCATTTATGGAAAGGTAGCTCCTAATGCTGATCCACTGCCTTGTGAATCAAACTTCGAGTCAAAGGCATGGGTTGGCGTGGCCCTTAAGACAATCACCTGCTTCGGTTCGAGCATTCAAGCAGTATCTCAGCCGTCATGCAAACTACTACACGGCGCATCTTTCATTGTGTTTTAACAAGTAACTAGAAAATTAATACTAGGTTATGTGCTGATCATGTCTATCTTTCAATCTAACCGTCTGACAAAAACCATAAAAAAGCTAGTTATATCAAAGGAGAACTTCAGTATTTATATGAGATTATTATATGAGATTTCCAACCGTATAGTGAAGGGTGGAGTGGCCTACATCAACTTGAGCCACCTCTGGCGCCGTCGCAACGTTAGCCTGGCTGTGAAAGGTCGGGTATACAATGCTTCGGTGCCGGTTGTCTTGCTCTGCGCCTGTGAAACCTGGTCTCTCCGAGCTGAGGATGTGCAGCGACTGTGCGTGTTCGGTCATCTTTGTCTCCGCAGGATTGCTTGCGTTTGATGGCATCATCGCGTGAGTAATTCTGAGGTTTGGCGGCGTGTGTTTGAACACAATGGAGATCACTATTCATTGAGTGTCGTCATCTGGAAACACAAGCTCTGGTGGCTTGGACATGTGCTGCGAATGTCATCCCAGAGACTTCCGTACAGGTCTCTGTTCGCCTGCCCTGGGATGGGATGGAAAAGGCGGTGAGTGGTCAGTCCATGACGTGGCGTCGTGGGATGAAGGATTTTTGTGCTAGATTGGCATTGGTCGGTGCGTCACGACTCCCTGGTTGGGGTCCGCGACATAGCTCGAATCGATGGCTCGAGACGTTATCGGATATGGCCAAGAATCGTAATCAATGGCGAACGTGTTGCAATTTCCCTTTCCGATGACAGTTAACGAATATTGTTTGAACTTGTTAAGCATGACTGTTTTCCTTCCAGATGAAGTTCTTTATCCGTTCTCTACTTATGTATCTTTTACTTTGAATCTATGTTGTTTTATTATTATTATTATTGTGTGGTGCATCTTTCTTGGTGCCATATTGTACCAAGTTTTTTATGAGTTTAAATAAAGTATATTCGGAAATTACTGTCAGTCCATCATAACATAACTCGACAGCTATATATATATATATATATAGTATGGGTATTTTATAGCAAGTCCTACTGATAAGATTTATCAGTAGTATATAAGGAGATGTTCATCAGCATAAAATTTTAAAGAGCAGGGAGATATATTTGATGTCGGAGAATGCAAATAATACAGAGTTGTGGAGATACATGGGGGACGTGAAAAGAACACAAAGAAGAAACACACACAATATGAAGGGAGAGCAGAAGTAGCAGACATAACACGGAATATCTGTGCAAATGGTGCGTTGAAGAAGATAAGGTATACATAATTTGGGTATATAGAGATGATACCAATTTCCAAATAAACATTCCTTTACCAAGTCTTCGTCTTCTACGATATCAATTTGACTGGATACTGGATAAAGGTCAAGATGTATTACTAAATGAAAAGAACCAGACAGGAAGTTCAGCGAAGAGGCTCCATTCGACGAATTTATTTTCTTTAGGCGTACAATTGCATTCATATACAAATATTTTCTCCCCAACAGAGGGTAGTAACAAAATTGATGAGTTGTCACAAACACAGTTGTTAATATTAATAAATGCATAAGATTGACTGACTGACTAACTAATTGGTTTCAACGTAGAACTTTGCACAGATGTGCAGCACTTAGAGTTGCCACAACTCTCTCTCTTTCTCTCCATGTAGCATACAAAGCAAGAGAAGAGAGTAAAGAGACATTCAAAATAGAGATAGACAATAAACAGAAATATGAGGCAAAAAGAAAATTAATATGGATGAACAACAGAACTTTATTGGATATGATAAATCACAGAGTGAATGCATCTGCGCCAGACATTGACAACTACGATTTTGAACCATATCGCCAATTGTCTCCAACCACCACCATTGGTTCTTACCATCCAGAAGACCCCAACCAGTCAGTCACTCAGGAAGTCTACACCTCCCTACGTGGTTGGCTGGCTTGAACTAACTGTTATAGATTTATCGACAAAAACATGAAGGAGAAGCCTCCGGTGTCGAACATCGCAACGGTTCCTAAGAAGACTCTCTTCATGAACCCAGCATTCAGAGGTGATATCACAGCGGAAATTCGCAGAAACCGCCTTTCTAAATGTCTGAAGAAGACATTTCCAACAGACATTCTACGTATCACATTTTTCTGCAGACAGTTAATCCAGTCTAATGCTAAGGATAAGATACCGCTTTTCACCACTTCAATGAGTATTTATCAATTTACTTGCTGGTGTGGAGTAAAGTATATCGGCTGTACGCAACGTCAAGTCCACACGTGTATTCTGGAACACTGCCCAGCTTGGTTAGTCGGAGGAGAAAAGAAGGATAGCAACAGCTCGATCCTCGAACACTTTGTCATCTCCGGATATCGAGCACCTCCAAATGAATGCTTTACAGTGTTACACAGAGTCCCTCAATATCGTACAAAGCGACTTCATCTGTACTTAACTGAGGCATTAACTATTCGAGATCTGAAACCGGACCTCTGCATTCAAAAGCGATACATACATTCTCTGGCCCTACCATGGCCAGAGTAAAGTTCTTACTACAATTTTGCTTCTTTCCTTTAATATGTAAGTTCACTATTATTATTATTAATACTTTTATTATCATTATTATTCCCATCGTCCACATTTTATTACCACTCTATTACTGTTTATTAATAACATTGCTTTTTCATACAGATTTCATGCATAAACACACTTTACAGCCTTTCCACTAGTTCCTGTCCATTCTGCACGAGCTAACTGATTAGTCATTATCTCACACTTGTTAAGACATGCCAACTTTTGTCTCCTTTCTAACTTACAATTAGTCATCCTTTCTTACACCTTACATCATGTGATACAATTTTTCAAGCACAAAGTTTACCAGTATCTGATTGGTCTAAAGATTTCTTTGTTAATTATAATTACAATTGTATAGCAGCTCATGGAAATGAATCGTCGAAAAGAAAATTTTCTTCGCTGTTTGTGCCTTTTTCCTATGACTCAATATGGGAATATTTCCTTCATAGATTTATTTCATTGACTGACTGATAAAGCCATATCTTGATTTGACCAAGCACCACTAGCTAACTCTTTTCCAACCTGATCCATCCTATGCCAGTCAACTAACATCGCCTGTAGAGAAAGGCGATACATAAGGTAAGTTAGAGTTATGTACTAAGTTGGCAGAAAACAACGGCGATTTCAATAAAACTAGAAGTAGTTGAATAATTCTCTTTCGTTTACAGAACTCCGGTCTCCATACCTTGTATGGCTAGAGCTTTGGTAATGCAGTGGAGACAAAATTGTCTAGTCTTTGACCGGGTGTTCTCCACTTTATAGATTACTTTGAAGGATGACTTTGTTGAGGTGGAATGACCAGAGTGTTGACAAGGTGTTAAATTACCTCAATCCATATACAGGAGTCACTTCTGGTCTTTCTGCAACTATGATTCTTCGGTGAACCACTGATTTTGTTCTTCGCATTAATGCCTTGATTGAAGATTATTCATGAATGTATTTTACATTGAATGATATAATGTGATATAACTTGCTTAACAGGTAAAATCAGTTATTTTTCTATTACAGACCAAAATACTGACCAACTTTGTGAACACTGTTGTACAAATTGCAGGAAAATCGATGCGGATGAATCTGTTAAAACATTAGCTTCAATCCTACCTGATGTAAGTATTCAATATTTACTATTATTACCACTACATCTTTGTTATTTTTTTAAACTGATGATGATGGCCGTTCCGAGTGCGATTCGTGATAGACTCATTCCTAAACCTCTCCTAGTCTTCCTGCGGATAATAAGCTCAGAAAAGAGAAAAGATTAGGTGTGAATTTGACAATCCCACCGCTACTGAGAACTTCAAAGCTTGACACGTGTTTCGTCCTATTTAGGAGTCTTCAACTAGATCCATCCGTTTATCCTCAGTGTGAATGAACTGTATTCTCAGTGAGACTCGAACCTAGAACCTATAGTCTCAGATACTAAAATACTGTACATGACTAGGGGATGAATAAATAGTGTCATGTTCATCTTCATATACCACTGAAGTATGTGTACTGTGAGCTCTCATATGTGTACAATAAGATGGAGTATTTCTGGTTTCATTGACTTCGACAAGACCTTCAACAGATGGCGTTGACTAAGAAGTAAATTGGAGACTGCTTCAATACTATAGCGTCCAGTGGCCAAGTCTTTATCAACTTCATTCAACAGCCAGTTGTATGACAGTACCTGCCACTTGTCAGGTGATCCACAACGGAAAACTCAGAGATGTCTGGTTTTGGAGTGAATACAGAAGTAAGACAGGGTTGTCCCCCACGATGATATTCTTAATTGTGGTGGACTGACCGGATTATCCGTCAGACTGTGTGTGCACATAGAGTGAGTGAGTGAGTGAGTGAGTGAGAAGACAGTAATACGCTACACTGACCAATATGAAGACTCTAGAAGATGTGGATTTCGCGTGTGGATGGTTTATACCGTCGATTATCACACACACACACACACACAAACTCGAAGACTTGCAGGTAGGCAGGCAGATAAGCAGCGAAGACAGAACTGACTCCAGGTGAACATAGAGAAGGTGGAGACGGAGGCGATCAAGATAACCAACCAACGGCAACAACCAGCAGCACTAACCACCTACAGTGGGAGAGATTTGACACAATTTTATTCCTGTCTTCACTTATCTGACCAGGAAGCACACTTTCAACTACGGCAGGCAGACAGTCGGCAGACAGCACGGATGAAGATGTCAAAGCCGGCTAGAATCGAAAAGGTAAGAGATACGCCTTTATCAATCCGAAATCAGTTTGAAAATCTTCTACACTCAGCATAAACCTCAAGATTTGGATTCTATTCAACACAAATGTCAAGTCAGTTAGTTCTATTATGTGGGTCAGAAATTTGGTGGGCACATCACGAAAAGAATTTCCAACAAGTTACAGGCTTATATCAACAGCTCCCTAGTTCACTGGCTTCATATTGTAGATCAAATGGCCGGTCAAAAAGAATTAACAAGAAGAAACTCCAGCGGTGAACAAACCAACGAAGGAAAAGCCGATCGTTCAACCAAGAAATATGTAGGAGAAAATGGAGATGGATTGATTGGGCATTTACACACGCCACTGAGGAGGAGGTCGTCGGTCGCACATGACACATCGCGTGCAATGCAGGTCATTGCTCAAGTGGGGAATCCCAATGGGAAATGATAAGTGGGTGATGAGTGCTAGTGTGACATGGAGGAGATAGTGTGTTGGGGAGCATGAGGAGATGAGAGACTATGGGCAGTAATGGTGGCCTAAGCCAGATGAAGAGGACGGTGGATGTGTTGTTGGAGGCCCTATGCGCCTCCACTCGGAGCCAAAGGGAAAAATAATAATAATAATAATATAGGTTTAGAAGAAAGCGTGGTTGATAAACTTATTGTGACGGTAGTAGTAGTCAAAAGGTAAGAGGATGAAATTGTTTTCACTACAAATTAATCACAAGAATACTTAATCGTCAAAACAGCAAAACACTAGAGTGTATATCCTGTTTTGATGTTAGTCAAGTGGTGTTAAACGAGTAACTCTCTACAGATAGCCAGTAGTGTAGTAGTGATAACACTAGAGAGTGAAGAATATACGACCACATTTTGGATGAAAGTGCTATCACACAGTTCTAGAGTTATTTCTTTTTTCAAAGAAAACGCGGACATCACTCAGTGAAATCTCTGACAGTTGATTTAAGCCTACCATGTAGGAAGGTGTAGGTTGCCTCATTGGGGGGGGAGGGTCCTTAGCATAGGAAGAACCTATAGCGGGAAACTATTGATGATGCTATAGTTCAAATCCGTTTCCAGTAAGGCAGATAAATTTACTCTTTGTAATGTTTCATATCATCCACTAAGCTGTCGTGTTTTTCCATGTTATTATTCTACTTCTGTGCGTCGATGGCATAGCGGTTAGGATGCTCGCCGACCATGCACATGGTCCCGGGTTCAAACCCCGGCCGACGCACTCCTTTACCTCCCTGAGCCAGAAGTAATGCTGGTAAAGAGGAAAGGTTGAGCATGAGGCTAGCAACCCCATCCTGTAAAATAAACACTGCTAAAGAAACTTCAAGCCACTAGCTTGAAGCTCTATGTTCCACTGGGGAACGTAAAGGAAAAAAAATTTAAAAAATCTCTCTCACACACACATTTCTACTCATTGTAGTTCTTTAGAATTTGTTTTCTCTAATATTGTGTGTTATACGGAGTGTACCGATTTGAACGACTGTACTCCTGTACAAAGTTCTATACTTGAACTTGATCAATCAATTAGTTAGAAAGTAGGCATGAGTCCCAGTAGCTTAGTCGTCGATGACCTCGCTAGCCTTGTGACCAGAAGGTCCTGGGTTCGGACCCCCCCCCGTATGGGTGCGTACTGCTGGAGATTTGCAAACTAAGCTGGTGAAACAGCTGTCTGTCCATTACTCCAGTGTTGGTTTTCAAATAGTTCTCTTTAACCGATGTGTCAGTTCATGATGAAGTCCTCCAACCAATCAAACAAAATCCCTACAAAACCAACCAATACTTGAGAAAGTAGACAGTTGAAATTGAAATTACTGTGTTCGTTTATTTTATTTGCTTGATGATCAGTAAGCGATATTTCTGTTTGATTTCCGCGCTTTCTTCATGACTTCCCACTAGAACCCACCCAGGTAACTAAGTGCCTACCTGAATAGGGCCATTTACCAGTGAACATCATATCGATATTCAAGTGTTGAGTGTTTATGAGTAAGCACAATAATACTTGTTTTTTTTCATATGCTTTCAACTAACTCAATGTCTTCATCTTCAATATTGATTAACACAGGACATAGATTATTTTTATTATTATCTCCTTTAGTTCCTAGACGAACACAGGGCTTTATTGCGTTCGATTCTCCGCCAACGATTTCGTCAGGCTCCGCGTCTACCCACAAACTTTCATCTCCTCTTCACATGACTTATTCCTTCATGTCCCCCTCGCACTACGACCAACTAATCCACCACTTCCCATTCGAATTCCACTCTAGCGATGACCTGGCATGTGATGTCACTTGATGGTTTTCTCAGAGTATGGCCAATCCACCTCCTTGTTACTGATTCTTTCTCGCCATCTGATCTTAAGTATTGAGCGAAGACAGCTGTTGATGAAGGTCTGTGGTTTGTTTGATGTGCCACTCGTGAGACGCCAAGTCTCTGATCAGTATAGTAGCATTGACTTCACATTGGAGTTGAAAATCCGGATCTTAATTTTCATGTTGCGTGCTCTTGATCGCCACACAGACTTCACAGTATTGAAAGCTCGATTCGCTTTCCTGATTCTCGCCATAATATCTTCATCAGTTCCATCCGCCTGTATTTGAAACGATGCTTCAAAGGTAGGTAGGTGAAGGTGGTTGCTTCTTTCGAATTTCTCCCATTTATGCTGATTGTTGTTGTTGTTGCTGTTGGCCAGGGATCTTCATCACCTATATTTTCTCTATGTTCACCTAAAAGAAGTCCTATCTTTGATGCTTCCTCTGTCAACTTGTTGCATTTCCTTTGCTCATCTTCCACTTTGTGGGAAATCAGATATATATCATCGGCGAAGTTCAAATCCTCCAAGTTTTCTGTTTAGATCCATTTATGCCTGTTTCCTCACTACCCACTGTCTGTCGCATTATCCAGTCTACCGCAATCAGGAAAATCAGTGGACATAGTAGGCAGCCAGTCAGCCAATCTTGTCTTACTCCAATCTTCACTTCAAAGGATTCCGTGAGTTTCATCTTGTGGATTACTTGGCATGGAGCATTATCGTACAACTGTTGGATGAGGTGTATAATTGTTGGCGGCACCCCATAGTAGCGAAGTATTTTCTAAATCACCTCTCGATCGGCTCGGCGCTGTCGAAGGCCTTTTCAAAGTCAGTTGAAGTTGAGATAAAGAGAGGTGTGACTGCCATTCCAAGCTGTGTTCAATGATGATACATAGTGTTGCGATTCGATCAATTCATGACTCGTTTCTCTTAAATCCAGACTGTTCTGGTCGAAGTTTTTCATCCACGGCGTATTTGATCCTCTTCAGGATGATGTGACTTAGTATTTTGCATGGGACAGACAGCGGCATAATGCCGCGCCAATTCTCGCATTGACATAGAAGCCATTGTTTATTTCGAATCCAATTTTGGTTTTCCCAATCCCAATTTCCACTGCAACGATGGTCACTGGGAACATTTCTACTCACTAAGGAGGAATGCAAGCACATCCAGCTGATGACGGGTCGCAAATACGACGAAATGCACATTTTGTGTGGTAGCAGTCTTTGCTAGTCACATTCTACTAAATTATTCCAAGTGAACCCTTAGACACTGTTGAAGCATCCCTACTTGGAGGCAACATGTTAACAGAAGTGGAACATTTTGACGGGAAAATAGAAAGAATAGAATTAAAAAACAATTAATTAACCGATACCTGTTGTCCAAGAGATGATTCAAGTGGTCTTAGTGACTAAGGCTTTGGCGTTTGAAATGATTGGTACCTGGGTTCGGGTACCAGTGGGAACATCATCACCTATTGGGGTTTGTAGGTACATGGAGTTGATGAGTCCGAAATAGGACGAAATGCTGGTTAGCATCCATTAGATTACTTCAACACAGAAGGCAGCTGAAGTTTTCATTATTCAGACAGATGTAGCTTATTGGTTTAAGCGTTTGACTTCCGACCAACAGGCCCAGAGTTCGAATCAGATTATTTTTCAAGAGTTTCTTTGTAGGGGACTAGATTTGTCTCAAGTTACATCACGCATTGATGTTGGTTAGAGAATCATTAGAACCAGAGGGGAATGGCTGGTTGTTTCGTACTAGTTTTTTTACAGTCCCACCGGCAGGAATCGAACCCAGGTTACAAGGTCGAGCTCGTTGACCATTCATAGTGAGATTGAAAGCTGTGTGTTCTATACACATGTATATGTTTCACTTCCCTAATTATTTTTCCATCCTCCTTTCTCCCATTTTAAGGCTTGCCGAAACGTTCTCAAGGATTGTTTGCAAACAACTAATAACAATGTGGATGAAGCAGTTCTACTCGCATTGAATCGGCTCACATTGAATAATAATGATAACACAACTGGTAAAGAATTGAATACCTCAAAAAGAAATAAAACTGTAGTCACCGCCTCAAAGTCGTCATCATCATCAACAATCACAACGACAGCTGATATCGATGAGAAACTTGATGAAAAGGCGAAATCTTTAGTTCTTAATCGTTATGACTTCGTATCAGAAGGTGGTGGTGGTGGTGGTCAACCGGTTAAACCAAAATTACCAAGTGTATGTTTTGATTATTGTTTAACTCGTTTCATCCTAATATATGTGTAAAACTTGAGCCCTGTCTGTGGTAGTAAGCAGTTCCATATTAGTTTGTTTATTAGATGGATATGTCACACATAGTTAGTGAAACAGTATTATTATTATACAATTGGTGGATGGTGGCTAGCAGTGGAATCCAGGATGCGCATTTCGTCCTATTTGGGACTCGTCATCTGGATGTACATGCATTTCTCAGTGAGTGATGATGTTCCCACCGAGGCTCGAACCCAGTGCCCATAGTTTCAAACGCCAAAGCGTTATCCACTAGACCACTTGGGCCACGAGAGCCACCTCTTGTGCAACGGGTCATATTAATTATTGAATTGAATTCTTGATTTTCCCGTCGATTGATTGGACCGAAGTGCTCGGTCTAGGGGATAACGCTTTGGCGTTTGAAACTATGGGCACTGGGTTCGAGCCTCGGTGGGAACATGATCACTCACTGAGAAATGCAGGTACATCCGGCTGACGAATCCCAAATAGGACGAAATGCGCATCCTGGATTCCACTGCTAGCCACCATCCACCAATTGTATACAAATCAAATCCCGAGACATCGTCGAAGCATCTGCACAAGAAGCCGACATGTCAACCTGAGACCGAGCACTTCGGTCCAATCAATCGATGGGAAAATCAAAAAAACAAAATTCAATTCAAGTATTATTATTCACTGTATGATAAAGTTTCGAACACAATTTATTCACTGTTCATAATCATATCGTCAATTGTAATCACACGACTTCGAAATTTTCGTTTTATAGTTTTCTTTATTCTCTCCCCTGTTCGTCGTCGTACCGGTAGTAGAATTTCCCAGATGTCAGGGTGCGTGCACAGGTGTTGAATCATTCCTATTACACGTACTCCCCACAGTTGAGTCGATAAACAAAGCTTCTGTTATCAATCTCTCCTTCCACCTTGTGACATTAGATTTTTTGTTTTAAAGGCTCCACAGGATTGATCCTTCAACCGACAAAGCTTGTTTCTAATTGAGTTTGTGGGGGGGGAGGGGAGGGGTGTTGAATGCTAGCCACTTTCATTCCTGCCTTGTGAAGAATTCTGCCTAAGGTTTCCGAGGTTCCTTCTTTGCATGGAATTACTACTGATGATTTAGATTCCATATTACTGGTGTTGTCATCATTCTGTGCATGTTTGACAAGCATGTCGTCATTAATATTACTGTTAGTATTATCATTATCGCTACCATTATTATTTATTTTATTTTTACATTTCCCTACATACTTCCTAATTAATCTATCAGGGTAATTATTAAGTTTCAAAGGTTCTCTTATATGCCTCACTTCCTGTCGTAGATTCTCCTTGGTACTACTTAGATTTTGAGCCCTATTACTTAGACATTTCATCAATTATATTTTCACTGGCAGGGTGGGATGATCGGAAGTTCAAATATCTGTTTGAATGTGTGGGTTTCCTGTAAACACTAGTGTTTAACTTCTCATCTTCTTTCCTTTTTACGCTACAATCTAGCATTGGTAGTTATCCTTACTGAAATTCCTATTCATAAGTGAATTGAATTGCCTCCACCTTTGAGTTAATTTGTTAGAAAAATCTATCTATATCCTGTGTTCTAAGTACAGTGAATGTGTCATCTACATACCTCCCCATACTTTTGGGGTGGGGGTGAATGTTTCAACCGCTATGTTTTCCTCTACCTATCCATGAATGTATCGGCCACAACCGGGGGATACTGGTGACCTCATGGCAATTCCCTCAGTTTGTTTGTATATTTTCCCTCTGGAATTTAAATACTGTGGAAGTCAGGCATAGCTGCACTCCTGGCGTTATGTCCTCAAGTGGAACTAAAAATACGTGTAATAGGAATGATTCAACACCTGTCCACCCAGACATCTGGAAAATTCTACTACCCCTACAATACATGGGAGAGAACAAGGAGAACTATAAAACTCTAGTTTCGAAGTCGTGTGATTATGATTGATGAAATGATTATAAACAATAAACTTTGTTCGAAACCTTGTCATCCATTCCATAATAATAATACTGTTTCACTGTATGTGTGTGATATATCCATCTAATAAACAAACTAACATAGAAATAGTTCCATCCTCTTAATATTTATTTTATTATTTATTTTAGTAATCCTTACGCGTTGTTTGAACTCACTTCCTCCAGGCTATGAGGCATACTTGATATGTTGTAAGAACTGATGATACTGTCACTATCCAGTTTGTTGCTCACTCTGAAGTAAAAGGCGGAATGGGACTCGAATGCAGGACGTGGTGACTGTGAAAGAGTTGAGTGTTTAAAGAAGTAAGCCACGTTTGCGCACAGTATTCTTTCTAGGATTCGATTAAATGGTCACTTTATTTAGTCTGTTATATATATATATATATATATATATATATATAAATATATATATATATATATATATATATAGTGAGGAATACCCTCGTTGTGTGAAGGCATTGAACACAACTAAGCAACTAATCTATCTTGGATTCAAATCACACTCTGTGTGCACCGATTTGATCAACTGGCTACCATCATAAACCTCTTTGCGCACACATTAGGTATATAATCATAAGTAAATCCTGTATTGACTACTTGCTTTATTAATCTATTTTTTTTATTTTAATTTATTGAATTGGAATAATTACATAATCAATCCAGCAGAATGATTTATTGTATATCGATTATTATATAAATAATGAATTCGAATTACAAATTCAAGTCAAATAGGGAAATATTAAAGACTTCAGTGAGTTGAATATTATATATATATATATATATATATATATCCACAACTGGAATTCGAAATTTGGAAGTGACACCTTGTGAGGTGTGGAAAATTCTTTGTGGTTTCGTTTTTCAAAACCAAAAATATTGACATCACAACATACAATCTGCTTAATACCTACCTCAAATGACAATCAAAAAAGCAAAGGTATCATTACTTGATAAGTATGAATTGGTTCATCTCTCTAAGCTGAAACTCCCGGCCGGCAACTGCTACCTTGTCGTAGTGGTCAGGCCCAAATACCGCAGTGAACCAATAAGTTACACTGACTGGGACTTATGTTCCTGCAGGTCCTACCGGTTAGATTAAAATCAGTTATTGTGGGGTACACGGGCTCCACAATCCAATCGGATCAAATAGCGTATGAACATGTATTGGTTAGCAGCAATCATGGGAGCGTAGCTCCTGACGCTGCTCCGCTGCCTTATGGAGTAGACTCCTAGTCAACGGCTTGAGGGGTGGTCCCTTAAGACAACCACCTGCTTCGGTCTGGGCTCCTGGACAATGTCTCAGCCCTCACACAGTCACAATCATGTGCCTCGGTACACCGTTGATGAGCTTGTTCCTAAGTGAGCGACACGACTGTCTGGTTCGAGTGGGGTTCCCCACTACTCATATCAGTTAATTATTAGCACATGCCTCCATGGGCTTATTATTATATGTTCGATTATCCAGATTTTGAACTTAAAAAATAGTTCTGCAACACGATCCTTCACCTTTATTCGCAAATCAATAATCTTGAATCAGGTTGCAATTAATTATATAAATGAAATGACTCTGACTGGATGACTGGTTTCAAAGTAAAACTTTGCACGGGTATGCAGCACTGTGAGTTGCCACACTCCCTCCTTGTAGCACACACAAAACAAGAGAAGGAAGCATAGAGAGATTCAAAAGAGAGACAGACAATAAACAGACGTGTGAGGCGAAAATAATAGTAACATGGAAGGACAATAGACTTTTATTGGATGTTATAAATCAGAAGGATTGAATGCATCTGTGCCATCTAAGCCATATCACCAACTGTCTCTAGCCTTCGTTGGGATTCACCATCTCGAGGACTCCAACGAGTCAGTCCTGCACCTCCCTATGTGACTAGCTGGCTGGCTTAAATTAACCGTTGTGGATTTCATGGACTGATATCAAGTTTCATTTTGACCAAGGAGCATTAGCTCTTTTCCAACCTGACCAATCTTATGACAGTCAGCTAACACTCTTTGTCGAGGAAGGCAATGGATAGTCATGCGTAACACAGGTCCTAACCATCTCCTCTAATCAGTGTAACTTCACAACCTCGTCAATTGATTTCCCCTCCCACTTACCTAGCACTCGATCGAAGCCTAACCTCAATATTACTCACTTCATTATACCACCTAACATAGAACATAGACACCTATGCTGAGAGATAATTAGTCAGGCTTTTCATTTCTTCCACTTTCAATGGTCATGTCTCACAGCCATAAAGGAGAAGAGAGCGAGCTGCTACTGTGCAGTCCACACGCCCTTTGGTCGACAGACAGCCGGATATCACGTCTACTAAACTAGAGGTGTTGTAAGTTGGCAAATGCTCAAGGAGGCTTCTGTATCCATGCTGAAATTTCGGCAGTAAGTGGAATCCGAATGGAAAACAGAGTCGGGTGACAAGGCGAAGTTCTGCGAGGAGGAGATGAGAGTTTGTTGGCAGTCGTTAGGCCAGCTTAAGATGACTGCAGAGAACAGGATAGGATGGAGATGTGCTATTGTTCTACTCAAAACCTAAGATAATAATAATAACAATAATACAAACAATACTAGGTGTTCTTTAATCCACAGATTAATTGTGTTAAAATTACACTGAGAAATCACTATTATTGTTATTATTATTCCCTTGGGTTCCGAGTGGAAAATAAGGCTTCAACAACACATATCCTTTGTCTCTTCTATTTTCCCCTGTCTTCTCCTCTTTAGCTGGCTAGACCCACGATTACTGCTCAGAATTTCTTACCGACCACCCACTCTTCGATTCACATCCAGATTCCACTCGAGCAGTGGCCTGCACTGCGTACGATGTCATTCAACCGACGACCTCCTCAGTGGCGTGTATGCTTGATCAATCCATCTCTATATTCTTCTATATATTTGTTGACCTATAGGTTCTTCATTGGTTGGTTCGTTCATTGTTAGACAGAGTTTCTTGTTGTTAATTCTTTCTGACCTGTCGGCCATTTGATGATCTTCAGTATGGAGCGAGGCCAGAGAGATGGGCAGCTGTTGATAAAAGTTTGAAGCCTGTTTTAGAAAACTTCAATTCACTGACATCTTAGCTTGACAAGAAATCAGTCTAAGAATGATTTGTAAACATTTTACATTCTACAAAGGCTTTAAAAGAGCTGTATTACAACAGACTTTAGCTGAAATGTCTGTTATACTTGTTATCTTTCCATCTGCTAGGATTTCTTAATAATATCCCTTTTCTGTTAGACTTGATTATTTACAACAAAAAATATAGAGAACTGATTTCTTCCAACTGTACACTCCGAGTCGTGAATCGAGCACATTTCGAAGACTACAGATGATTAGATATTAGGGGAAATTCCTATTTGATATGAATTAAAAACACACAAGTCAGTCAACAAAATGAGATCCTTCTTCTTTTAACTTCTCTGCAAAGCTGTTCAGTTATTTCTAGGAGGAGGTATATATATATATACGTGGAATGTAAATATCTCCAACATGCTTAAGAGACAGAGTTCACTCTGTGTTCAGTTGTTCGGTGAATGATGTTATTTTCGCACATAATCTGTCTTGATATGGACGAAATTTTTACATTCCGTTACTGTGGACGTTCTAGTCAGAATTTTCTCATTCTTTTTCTTCTTAACCGAGACATCTTTCATTGAAGTTTTTTCATTTTTCAGCGATTTCCTTCGGTTCCCTCTAGTTTTTTGTATAGTTGTGGGTTTTCGCGCACTTTAAATCCTTTTTCAAATACTTGAGTTTTAAAGTTTCTTTACGAAGTGGAGTATGCTAGCCTCATGTTCAACCATCTGTTTTTTTATCGGTCTTACTATTGATTAATTGAAATTTTTATGGGTGGGTGGGTCGGTCGGTCGGTCAGGAAGTGAAACTCGAACCAAGTAAGGCATGTTTGGCGAGTATTCTACCATTGAACCACTGACTCAGTGTAATAAATAGACACAGAGTAATCGATTTTATGTATACTCATACAACTCTGATTGAAGTCTTTACTCATTCTACATGATCAGAGGTAATGATGTGCTCTCTAGAATTGACCACCTGTTGACTATTCTGAGTGTTCTCCTTTTTGATAACCATTCTTGTAAGTTCCATACATTTATTCCCCTTAATGAATGAATGCTGTTGTAATTCAGCAACAACCCAATAACACACAAAAGGAATTGCATACAAACACTATTCAAGAGAGCAAGGACTCACTGCAGCACTCCCACCTTAAGGAAAATTGAAGAAAAGTATCTCATGGACGTCTTCCAAAAGAATGGATATCCACGGAATTTCATCAAGAGACATATAGCCCCAAACCAACCTACCGAAGCAAAAGCCACCAAGGAAAGCACAAAGAAAATTGCCTTACCATATATAAAAGATATCACAGAAATCACTACAAGACTCTTCAAACCTTTAGGAATTGACGTCGTACACAAACCAACAAAGTCGCTTCAATCAATTCTATGTCAACCAAAAGACTCAACAGCGAAAGAAGACAAAACCAACATCATCTACAAAATAAACTGTAACAACTGCGAAAAACACTACATTGGCCAAAGTGGACGTCCCCTTCGTCTTCGTATCCACGAACATAAGCTAGCCGTCAAAAGACATGATATCCACTCCCTCATTTCACTACACACAGACAACTTCGGACATCAATTCAACTGGGACAACGTTCAAATATTAGACAAAGGAAACAACAAGAATGCTAGAGAATTTTTAGAAGCTTGGCATTCCAATGGATCATCAATCAATAGACACATCGAGATAGACAAAATTTATCAACCAATAAGAAAGAAACTTCACACACAAAGGGTCAAAGTTCAAGTCAAAGAAACAACCGGTTCCAATACAAGTAACCTAGAAGGTGTGGAAACACACACAAACAACCAATCACGTCCAAGGTGACCAGGAGAGATGATTAATAAACTCGTGGAGAAATCTAAAAGCTCACTTCAAATTGAAGTATGCGCTGAAGATGTCACCCAGTAAGGTGATGAAAGCTTCGCAAACTAACCATCCAGCTCAGAGAACAAAACCACATCAAAATCATCCACCTGAGCTACAAATCTTCTCTATCATATCTAAATTTGGAAACTACTCGAGTACTATGGCGTACCCCAAATATTCATCAACCTTATTCAACAGCTGTACGACAACGGCGGCACATGTCAAGTGATCCACAACGGAAAACTCAGCGAGGCGTTCGGAGTAAACACAGGAGTCAGACAAGGGTGCTTAGTATCACCAATGATATTCCTAATTGTGGTGGACTGGTTTATGCGTCAGACAGTGGGAAACGAGAAGACAGGGATATCCTGGACCGACCTACGTGAAGAACCTAGAAGACCTGGATTTCGCGCGTGGATGATTTATGTTTGATGTCACTGTCACAAAATCGAAGGCTTACAAGCGCAAAACCGGCAAACTTGTCGAAGAAGCAGCTGGCGAAGACAGGACTCCAAGTGAACATAGACAAGACGGAGGTTATGAAAATAACCAGCCAACAACAGCAACAACATCCAACGTCAATCACCATCAACGGGAGGGATTTGAAAGAGGTTACCTCATTCATTCACTTATCTAGGGAGCATTGTCTCAACTACAGGAGGAGCGGACGAGGATGTCAAATTGAGCGAGAATCGGGAAGGCGAGCGAGAAACACATTCATCAACCTGAAACCAATCTGGAAATCTTCGTCACTCAGCATCACCAACAAAATTCGGATTTTCAATACAAACGTCAAGTCAGTCAGTTCTTCTATACGGATCAGAAACTTGGCGGGCGGGTCACAAAGAATATATCCAAAAGGGTGTAGACCTTTATTAACAACTGTCTTCGCTCTATACTGAAGATCAGATGGCCGGGCCGGAAAGAATCACCAACAAGGAATTATGGGAACAAACAAAGCAAGAAGCAATCGCCCAACAAATGTGCAGGAGGAAGTGGAGATGGATCGAACACTCGCTGAGGAGACCGCTGGGTGACATCGCGCGTCAAGCCCTCGAGTGGAACCCAAAAGGGAAGCGGCGAATGGGATGTCCAAGGGTGACATGGAGGAGATCGTGTGAAGAGGAGTTGAAAGAATATGGACTAACATGGATGCAGGCGAAAAGTACAGCAGAAGACAGAAGCAAATGGAGACGTGCAGTTGAAGCCTTATGTTCCACTAGGAACCCAAGGGAGCAATAATATATATATATATATATATATATATATATATATATATATATAATATTAACACTACTCCGAACAACAATAATAATCATACACAATGGAAACCTTTTGGCATTACCCATTCAGATGAAAGAGAGAGATGAAAATATTCAGTTACCAGGGCAAAGAAAGACTGATAACCGCTTCTTTCTGGACGCATAAATCAGGTTTCAGGCGCTTGATGGAAATGGCTTCAGCAAACTTAAGGAGAATTGAGCTCTTTTGCCTATTGATAATTTTGAACGACTTTTCGACGTCCACCTCATGACCCGTGTCGAGGAGATGCCTGGTGATGGCTCTTTTTAAAGTATTTGTTCCCTTTAGACGTAAGCTTTTTGGTATATGTTCAGAAATCGTAGATATGCCCTTCTTTCTGTCCTTCCAATGTAACTGCTCCCACAGATACATGTAAATTTGTACATACAGTTGGAGGTAACATGAGAAAAACTGTAGTTCTTGCTTTGTTCAAATTCTGGTAAGTGTTAATATTACGTCGTCAATTCACGAAAAATCCCCAGGTTTTCTGTGCATGTACCAATTTGACTGCTCTTGTGGAGTGAGCCGCCAGTTAGTTGCATAGGCCGTACACTTAGGCGTGTTTATCGTCGAATTTCCCAACACCACCACCCGACATATATATATATATATAATTGAAAATATCCATTTCAGGAGGTCAGCCGCTAGTTCAAATAGCTCAGTAGTAATGTCTCCGACTGCAGCACTGGGTGGTGCCACGGGTTCGAATCTCAGAAGGAACATGAGATCCTCCAAGGCAATTACAGATACGCCTTGCCAACTGGTTGAGTGCCAACTAGCACGAAACCTAGGTCAGGTGAGTCTTTCTGTAGCCGATTCCCTCCAACCATCTAATGTAATTGTATAACCAAAAGTGGAAATTATCCAAAAGAATATTCTTTACTCAATTTTTCCCTTCTCTGATTGCTTTTTCTTTGTTTTTTTTCTTCCCAACGTTTTCTCCATTAAACAAAAACCTTCCAGGAGTATGATAAAAAACAACCCAACATACGTTATATTGATGGCAAACCTGTAGACACTGGTGGAAAAAAGTATATTGAAATTAAAACAGAATATCCAAATATGCCGCGTCCAACATTTTTAAAAGCATTAAAACAATATAAATTTCATTGAACACAACGATTTAACCCTATAAATTGTGACAAAATATATACCTTATTATGTAATGCTGTTAGTAAAAAAAAAACAAACAAAACAAACAAAAACGATATTTCACTCTCAGTAATTATTTTCTTTCCGCTTTGCACGTATACATACATACTGCACGACCTTTGTAGTTGGAGGACGCGTACATACGTATGTACTGTGCGTGTGTGTGAGAGAGAGAGTGAGTGTTTTTAACATACAGTGTACAGTTGTCAACCCGTATTTTATGTTTTTGAGTCATTTAAACAACAACAGCTGCTGCATATTTCAAATATTCTCTTTTATTTTAATATACATACATAATTTCATATTTGTATCATCACTTTCCTTCTCTGTAGTTTATATTCATGGCTATATTTCAACCGGTTTTACAAATAATAATATATTTATATTGAATTCAATTTTAAATTTTATTTTTTTTTAGTAAAAACAATATCGTTTTGCTCCTTTTCATTCATTGGGAAATACAAAAAAAAACTTTATTATAATGAATATCATATACCCAATGCCCAAATTTTTTCAAACCGTTAAAAGTGAACTTGGTTTGGACATATATAAAGTCTACAGCAGTCTCTCCTACTAGGGGTTAGGGTGGGGGTCAGCGTAATTCGCCTCGATAGCTAGCTGACTCTATCCTCACTAATTAACTACACCGCCTCACACTCACTCAGTCAATCACTCATTCTCATACACAGTCAGTCAGTCATTCAATCACCGATTGACTCACCGAGGCAATGACTTATAGATTGAAAGACAAATTGCCTTCCTTAAATTTTCCTGTCGATTGATTGATTGGACTGAAGTGGTCGGTCTCAGATTGACATGTCAGCTCCTTCTTGTACAGATTCTTCGACGATGTTTGGGCGTATAATTATAAGTTAATTGGTGGATGGATGGTGACTAGCAGTGGAATCCAGGATAAAGCACTTCTCGTCCTACTTTTGGGACTCGTCAGCCAGTGGATGTACCTGTATTCCCCAATGAGTGATGATGTTCCCACCGAGGCTGGAACCCAGTGCCTTCGGTTTGGGAACATCATCACTCTCTGGGGAATACAGGTACATCCGGCTGACGAGTCCCACATAGGATGGAATTCAGATAAATTACGTCTTCTTCTTCTTGAACTTTAGGGGACGGCATTGATTAGTATGTCAAGGCCATATAATAGTTGGAATGGCAGGAAAGAAGTTCATAAATCAAATTTTCGACATTAATATCGAATCAGTCCTTCGATAAAGTTCAGAGACGCGATACTGTATCCATCATCAAAAGTACTTTGTGAATAGGCTTCAGACTCTTTCGGTAGAAATCTTCACGAACAAAGCAACCAAGAACCTATCACCTAATAAAAACGGTGAAATGAAATCGAGATGGATGGATGGATGGATTGGACACATACATCCAGTGTAATAGCACTGTGAAGCGTTTAGGTCCAGAGTTGACAAGGTATTCTAGGATGGAGAGCTGTTAGTATTCCTCTTTTCTCACGTGGCTAGCCCAGCTGGACAGTGTGCAGAATACGTTTTGCGAACTCGACGTTACGTTTGGCCGATCGTCTTTGTTCTTGTTTTGTTTTTTCCCATTGCCCCCGATTTGAGACGTAAACATTGACATAAATTGCTGTCTACCAATTTTTGGCTAGCAGAGACCGCTCTCACAACACGCTTACAACTTGCTAATTCGCAAGTTTCTAATTACCGTGAGAAAGAAATAATAGTCGTGGATTGAGACGTATTCCAATGCAAGAGATAGCTAGCTGTTTATGGGTTGTGTTCTTGATTCATAGAATGGATTCCTGAAACGTTTTCTTACTACCATTCAACTAAATTGCATGCGTTTATCGAAGAAGACGAAGGAGAGACATCATAATTTCTCGATAAGCGCTTCGTGTCATCAGGCAGAAGTGTTTCACATGGTCTACTGTCGAGTGAGTTGTCTGCTGGATGAGGTGAAAATATCATACAATAAATTATGCTGAAAATTTTGTACAATATTTAAACTCTGCACAAAATAAAGTTATTATTATTATTATGATTAACGATGCTGCTTCAGATGATACACATTAGCCGGCAAAGTTAAACTTTAGACACCACTGAAAACCAATCAGCAAACGACCTTGAACAGACCAATCACATTAAAGAGGTATATATAATGAATGGAAATGTATATTTGTAGAAAAAAAGGATAAAAAGATAATAAAAAAGTTATAAAGGATATCTTTCTCGAACATGTGAGAGAAACATCTCCCAGTTTAGTATGGGACTGTCAATGGAGAAGTTACACCATATCCTGTACATATATTCATCCAAATGACTATAAATGAGATCCTTTTGAGATCCATTTATAACCCCAATCCTGTTTTTTATCGTCCCCAAAGTCTTTCAATAGAATTTGTATGTGTCCTCGTAACCGGATCCACAAAATCACTTGAATGGTTGACTCTATGATGAATATATCCCAGAAATGACAGCGAATTGTAACCTTTCCATTCGTCAGTATGTATTATAGACCCTCTTTTTACAATCCTGTAATAATAGGTATAAGAGTAGTTGCTTTTCTATCTGCTATCCTTTCGACGAATCCCTTTCGGAGGGAGGTGTCATACAAACCTATTACCCAAATATTGTTCGCTCGCTGGCGACCGCGGTTGTATTTTTTTTTTACCAGCACTGTTTCATCGACATGCACGATAACGTCTTCTCCACCCAGCAAAGAGGTGATTTTCTCCATTTTCCATGATGCGATGTCTCTGCAATGGTGGTACCACGGAACTGTTGACACGAGGCTATTCTCCGTCTCGGCTGCTGCTGCACTCACCGGCTGTTTCAGCACCCAGTAGTTGCAGATATATAAAATCTGGGTTAGAGAGAGATGCAACCTAGCGAAAAAAGTTCCTACGAAATATTAAAATAATCAGCTTACCCTCTCTAATACTAGCACTATCCTCCTCAAATTGCAACCGTAACCTTGTAAGAGGACGCGTTTGAAATGAATCAAGCGCTATACAACATTGAACTACGTTCGTGAACCTCATTGGATAATTCGATATCGTTCGTGAATCCCATTGGATGATACGCTGATTGGTAGTTAGTGGTGTCGAAAGTTTAACTTCGCCCATTATCGATTAGTTTCCAGAAAGATAATTTGTTTAACCTTCTACACAAAGAAGTTTATAAAATCTAGCATCACTCAGTCTCTATTTTTACAGTTTGTCAACTCCTGTATTCTACCTGTTCTTCTATATTGCGTCCACTCCTATCCTCCCAGTCTTTCTTCAGGTACTTAACAAAATCTCCATTATAGGTAAGATTTTATTTTGATAAATTACTAAGTGTTATACAGTAATATTTACTGATGACATTTTGAGCACCATATACCATATAAGTAGGGGACATCTGAGACCTGCCTCTACGTAAGATTCTCAATAAAGCAGGAATTAGAGTGGTATTCATACGTACAAACTCAATCAGAGACAACTTCTGTAGGCTAAAGGATCCGGTGGACCCAATTAAACAAAGGAATATAATTTACAAAATACCTTGCAATGACTGTGAGTTGGGTCAACCATATAGGCCAAACTAGTAGGTCGATGGTAGTTAGATCGCCGGAACATAAGAATTTAGCTAAAGTTAGAATGGTTGACCGCGAGAAGATAAGTAATTTTGAACAAAGCCCAACAATTGCACTACATGCATTAACACACAATCACATAATAGGGTGGGGGAGAGTGAAAATCATAAAAGGTAATCCAGGTAGGTGGAGAGCGAGAGTCAATGATTACTGAATCCTGGTTCAACACATGCAACAGAAAGGACTCAATGCAAATACCAGAAATATGGAAGATATTATTACCACCAGTCAGTCAAATCAGAAGAGGATAATAAATAATCTTAAAATTCTATTTCAACTCACATATATTATAGAATTCTAACAAGTTACTTATTTCGACTGTATACACGCTCGTTTTATTTGTCATGTGATTATAATTCATCAATAACACTCGTACTATTATTTCTGAATTCACATTCCCGACCGAAAGCTGCTACCTTGACGTGGTGGTCGGGCTTGAACACCGCAATGACCTAATCAAGCTATACTGGCTGAGACTTATGTCTCTTGAGGTTCTACCATGCCAGGCAGGTTGTTTGGATAGCGGTTAAACAAAAAGCAGCTACCTCATCCAATACCATGATCCAAACAAACTCACAAAATTTCATGCCGGATCGGCCGTGGCCCGGATTAACAATGACCGCGCTTCCTGCTGCCGTGTCACAGGGCGGGAGTGATAAGTATGCTACTGAGGCACACCAAACAAAACAGAACAAACAAAAACAGGCCGCGTGTGACCGGCCTCAAGCAGTTGTCCCCTGGGCTCTGCGGTCACGCAACCAACTTCCACGGTGTGGGCAGCCGGGAAGTAACACACGCCCTCACAATCCGAAAAAAGACAGAATTCACATTATCCTATATTGATTTTTACTCAAATGTCTAATCATTTCCACTCGTCAAGTAAAAAGTGATGTGTGACTTGATATGATTATGAGTGGCAATAATTTGTGCTCGAAACGTGGTCATCAGTTAATATTACTGTACAACACTACACTGTATGACACTTTATCAAAATAAAATCTTATCCATAATCGAGTTGTACTCTACCACCACAGTGCCCAAGTTTTATACTTATATCAATAGTATTTAACAAAGACTTTGTAACACCACGAAGAGCACTAATAGTTGTGGATAGGTCGAGTAAAGTGAGGCTAAACCAACTCGTTAATACTGTTACAGATAGGAACATGGACCTTCGCAAGAAATTGGCGAATATTATCTTGTCAGATTCTGAACATCCTCTCTACACACAACTCTCTCGTTAGTACATCTAGTCAGGTAGAATTATTGGCGATTATAGAGGACTTCGCGTTGAGAAGACTATGTGTAACAACTCCACAATATCTTATTCAGCAGACATTTTGTATGTAATGAAAAATTTGTAAGGCATGAGACTACTGACTTACTGAGTAACACTGTGTAGACTTCCCTTTTATTCCTTATTTCATTATAATATTGCTGTTAATCTATTTCCGGTGACATTTTGATTTCATATTCTTGTTCTTATTGAAGAGTAGTATGAGTGTAAATGGCGTGTTGATTATTACCACCCCATCCCGCTGTGGTGCTTAATGTAAGGAGGGAATTCGATGTAATATTGTATTATATGCTGAAAACTACTCAATGTAGTGGATGTACTGCTTGGTATAAAGCCATTGTTATTATTATTATTAAATTACATTAAAAATCGAAACATACTTTTTTCGTGATGACAGGGAGTAATTGATGAAACTAAGACTAAGATAAGTAAGTCCCTTATGATGTAATTTCTTAAATCATCGACAGTATGCAG